CATGCACCATTTATCTTTACTACATTCAAGCCCTTGATCATAACATTTTGTGAGAATAAATTTCATCAAATCGAATTATATGAGGATAACATTTTATGAGAATGGTTGTTGTCAAGCTTTTATCACTTGTTCATGACCTGAAAAAATAAGTGAAAAGAATAAAAAAAAGTAAATTTAAGAAAAAAAATAAAATTCCCAAATTTCAAATGCTTTTTTCGTCTCCTGAATAAAAAAAAAAGTGAAATAGCTTCATCATACCATTGCAACATGCATTCTAAAAGAATCTTGCAGCAACAAAGAGGAAGAACAAAATCACCACTTATATTTTGAAAACATTCTGTTAGAATATTAAATAACATTATGAGAAAAAAAAATCAAAACTCAAAATAGTTAAAACCAAATCAAACTAAATTACCCAAGGATAGAATGAGAGCTGAAATCATATGAACATGTTGAAGAGCTAATTGACGGAGACTGGATGGTGGCTTGAAGATCGTAGTGTGGGATTTCCGAGAAACAGAGATGCATAGCTGGTGATTAGTAATTTATCCCTAAAATGGTGTATTTTAAACGAATTTATAACAAAAACATGATAAAAAAAAATTGTAACAACTTGCAATTTACTTGATTTAGAGGCAAGATTACTATATTAAAAATAAAATGAAGTCATTAGTCTCTACTTGTTTGGCATATAGTCAACTCAAAGAACATGATGAAAGTCAAGAAGACAGAGTGTACAACTCTAAAAGAATACTGCAGCAACAAAGATGAAGAACAAAATCAACACTTTTATTTTGGCAGAATTACGAACATATATTGAAAAACATTATGAAAGAATATTGTAGTATGCATTCTTAAACAAGCAATGTATTCTTAAAGAATACTATAGTATGTATTCTTAAATAATATTGTAGTAAGTCATCATTTATTAAAATTCTCAAAGTGCAGATAAAGTTATCATCATATTCCTATAAATTTTCTCCAGAGTTTTATAAATTGTATGAATTAGATGACAGGTAAAGGTCTACATAACACTAGGACAAATAGAGAACGTATAACAGGAAAGTATAGGCTACAATATACAAATCTGGTAACAAGATGCATAGAGACAAGACCAACAAAGAAAATTTTCATCAAAGCAAGATAAATGAATACAAGAAAAAAGAATAAGTAGATTTGATAGAACAACTTACATAATTTCTTGTATAGAAGATAGATGCTCGATATATTGAAAAAAGGTCCAGAATCTCCCAAACTGAAAATATTAGAAGAAAGGTCCAGAATCGGCTAAAACAGGGATGAACGGATTTTTAAATGAAGATGATAATTCAAGTATTTTTTTTCTTAAAACTGATGAATAAAGATTGACTTGTAGGTCTATAGTCTTCATCTTGAAATCGATTTGAAGGTGTTGAAATCGAGACTGATCCATGTCACTCAGATCCAATAACAAAGCAATGGAAGGGCATTGTTGTATGATGGTGTTGATTACACCTATAGCAAAATCTATCGACTCCAATAAAATCATAAATCATTGCTCAATATAAGGGAAAATAAACAACAAAATAAATGTAAAAATGGATTCCAGAGTATCACATTTTCAAATCCCCTAAGACATATTAATTTCTAACTTAAAACACCATCACACGCTCCGATATTTGATTTGTTGGAATCAAAACATTTTTTTTCAAAAGTTAAGTAGGAGATGGCACAATAATGTTAATTTTAGGGATTTTCTATGAAAAAATGTAGTAAAACAAGTTAGGGTTTAATCGATTGGATCATAGATCCATCGTAGATGTAGAAGAGAAAAAGAAAGAAGATGAAAGGAAGCTTATGGAAAAACCTACCTAGAGGGTGGCGAATGGAACAGAAGGTATTGATGCCAAACCTCTGTGGTGTTGGATATTGCAATTAGGAGGCGATGTATGGTGGTGACAGGTGAAGGTAATTATGTTGTGGTTTAAAAAGGGGTAGGCCGGTCATGAAGACGAAATCCATGACTCTAGCATGCTCTTATGTGTTTGTCGTTCTTCCTCTATCTCTTTTGATATGCGTGAATCCAACTTCCCCCAAAATAACCTCTCAAAATTAGTTCGAGTTATATCTGGTGGATTTGAAATCAAATCCCTTGTTACCTTCACTTACCATAATTATAGATTCATCATTTAAAATTAACTAATTGATTTATATATCAAATTATTACTATACGTTTTTAATTGATTGGATGAGAATCACCCATACATTCACACAATATTTATACATTATATATGAACCTAACTCTCTTTCTCTCTCTCTCTCTCTCTCTCTCTCTCTATATATATATATATATATATATATATATATATATATATATATATATATATATATATATATATATATGGGAGAGTTCAATTAAAAAAAAAAGGTTGAGAATTGAGGAATCATTCTCAGCTAATCATTTATTTTTGCCGCAAAAACCTCCAACGTACCGGCGTAAATGAGAAAGGAATGCACGTGTGTTTTCCAACAAAACATATTTCCTTAAACTATGTTAATCATTACCTTAATATATACAAAAACATTGTTTTTTTGTTTTTTTTTTAATTTTTAGAAGCTATTTTTATCAAAAAATGATTTTAAATATACCAAAATTCATGATTTTTTATTCTCTACAAATAGACTTCAATATTGATATAGTTTTAAGATAAAATAAAAAAAATTATTCTTTTTTATATTTTCAGTTATCGTTATTCATAAGTGAATAAAAATGCATCAGGTTTTATTACAGTACATTCGTTATTCACTTATGAATAAAAAGTATGATTTTTTTTTTTACAATTTAAGTATCATTCATATATGAATATAACATATAATAAACATAGTATATTCATATTTTAATATTGGACGATGCATTCACTTGTGAATATTCATTTGTGAATATTAGATGGTATATTCACTTATAAGTATTAAATGATATTTCATATATGAATATTACATAGTATATTCACTTATAAATATTAGATGATATATTTACTTATGAATATTACACTGTATATTCATATATGAATATTACAAGGTATATTCACTTGTGAATATATTCAGTTATGAATATTTGAAGGTATTTTGACAAATATATATAATTTTTATATGTTATTCACATGTGAATAACATACAGACTTGCATATTTGTTTTGTGTTTTTAATAATCATATATTGATTCAGGTGAAAAAAAACATATTCATATGTGAATATAACGTGGTAATTTAGTTTATGCATTTCATCAAATAGTTGGAGTGTATACAAGTTAACTATTTTAAAAATGTTAAAAACATCAAGTTATCAATTTCAAATCATCATATACTTCCGATTTCGACTTCAGATGCGACATCCTATGTTTGATCGATTTCTCATTTTGATTTTGAATTCCGAAAATCCGATTGGGAACCTGTGAGTACCGATTATGAGTCCTTCAATGTCGATTGTGACTGTGAGTCCAGAACTCCGATTCCAATTTTATGAACAGCGAAGAAATTCTAGTTTAGTTGAAGAAATCTGGATGTTTATTGAAAGTTAGAGGAAAAGTTTTGATGATGAACGAACTGTTATCGAATTCTCTATAACTACGTATTTGAGATTGAATGTTATTAACATATTTACAAGTTTGTCACCGTGTGTTTTTATACTTAGATTAAATGAGTGGCTGAAAATGATTCTCCTATTCTCAACTCTTTTTATTTTCTCAATTGAACTCACCTCTATATATATATATATATATATATATATATATATATATATATAATATATATATATATATATATATATATATATATATATATATATATATATATATATATATATATATATATATATATAAAGAAATTGATGTCGCATCGTTTTAGTTAAGTATAAATTTGATCATTTATCTAAAGTCTAAACCCATAAACTACCAAAATGACTTACAATATCGAGAAAATCAATTCCAAATTGTGTTTTATTAATACCACTTTTCGTATGATTTTTATAGGCTTTATGAAAATATGTGTGAACTATGCAACAACATGGAGTTCACGGGTAGCCTAACCTAAATATCAAAAAGTGGATGGGCCTACACTTGATCATTTCTAATTTTATGTGAGCTGGCTGTGGAAAATTAAAAGTTTTTCAGAAATATCTTAGTTTAAATATTATTTGAAATAATGATAGAAATCGTAAATTATCATCGGTCTTTTGTAATAATCTGAAAATGATAGTCTTGATGAAATATGTCGACCCCTACTGTGTTTGGGACTATTGTGATTTAAAGTTGTACTACTAATAATTAGTTTTTAACGATTAAATAAACAAATTTTATATTTAATTATCTCTAATATTAGGAATCAAATAATGTGTTTCATTTTACTCTAATAAATGAATGTTTTTTTACCACGTATCAAACTCTCATTCAATTTGTCAAATATCATTTTGTGATTATTTTGAATTAATTTTTTTCACATTCATTTTATTAGTTTTTATATTTTATTAAATTCAAAATAATATTTTAATATAATAATTATAATAAATATAGTAATAAATAAATATCGATTTCATTAATGAATTTATCTTTTAATTTCAAAATTCTCAAATAAAAATTCATTAATTTCTTTTATTTATTTATTTAAATTATTTGTTTAAATTTAAAAAATAAAAAACCTTTCAATTATAATAATTTTTTTTCAAGTTCTTAAATATTTTGATATTTATATTTAACATTTTTTTTTAGATTAACTCATATGGTCTCGTAACTAGTAAATTATTATTAGAAAATAAAATAATATCACTTGTTTAGTCTTTCTTTAACATGATTTGGAACTTTACTCCATTTCACACTAGAATTTACTTATAAAATACTCTAGTACTTTTAAATATCAGAATCTGATAAGTGTTCAAACACTAATACTGTATACGACAACAATTTATAATAAAATAAGTTATCCACTTAAAATAAAAATGAACTCGTGATAATTGGATCTTTTATTTGACGATAAATTTATCACATGTCATGTTGATTGTAAAAGTATATTCTCATAGCTAAAAGCACATTTCTATTACATTTACTTTGTCTTAACATAAAAAGGCATCATATCCTTTGAAAGATATCCCAAATAACACGTGAAAGCATCATTAAAACTTTGATTTTTACATGTAGATCTATTCAAATTCTATCAATATCATCTAAAACGGATGTGATTCATTTATATAAAATATATGCTTCACTCTTGTCTAATAGCTCTTAAACGGAAAAATCAGTTGCAATAATTAGTGTTTATATGGTGATGAATGTGTCGATATTATAGGTTTATAGGAACACGAAGCCCATCATAACTGAGTTGTACATCTAAACCTTCGGTTTCTCTCAACTTCAAGAGCCTTTCATTGACTTCTTCATGATCCATCAAATGCATCATACCTTCATCAATCACATAAGGGTAGAATCGTCATTCAATTGGTCCAAGAAAGAAACAACGTTTGTTCATACAACACTTGTTCCAAACTGCCATCATTTATCCATACCTGTAAAGAGGGTTCTTTTTGGCTGGATTTTTTGAACTTCTTCCAAAGCCTAAGCGTTTAACAAACACATGAGCATCAACACAACAAAAAAAAAATATTAAATGAAAATATTCTTCGATAGCATAAAAAAAAAACACAACCTATTATTCCAAAGCCTATAACCTATTACACATTCTTAAAATCTAACCTGTGGAAGTCCAAAATGCGTTGAAGAAGATCGATCTGGCCTCAATGCATCCTGAAAAGTGAAAACACAGAGACATAATATATTTTATATATATATTATTATAAATCAAAATTTTGAAAGTGATGTTTAATGTTTTATGTATGTGATTAATTACCATTATAAGTATTTCACAATCTTTTAAAAGGGGGTAAGTCTCATCGGGTATTGCACTGACATCACTGTCACAAATGAAATATTGTATCAGTCTCAAATGTTAGTGTATAGTGTTGTATATATATATATATATGGTTATGTTGTAGAGAAATATAGTTTGAGATTATTACCTAATGTAACAAATGTTGCCAAAGCGGAAACCTAAGGAACGATAATTACTACCATGCCACACTGGCAGAGGAGTGAACTGATAGCGCAAATACACAAATTGTGAAACGAGATAAAATATTTTTGAATAAATACGAATTTAACCCTTTAAATAAATATATATCAAGAACGCAAATTCTAACCTTAATGTCGTCAACAGTGAAAGGGTTTTCATCTATGATATCAAATTGCAACTCAGAGACAGCAGCCCCTGGTATGATCTCGCTTTTGTCTAATAAATAGTAATGTGTTTTTTTCATCACCTGAAATCAATTTAAACGATCTACAAATTCAGTTAGCGATGTCATAACATAAAATAATAATAATAATTGGTTCGCTGACATTTTGAACATTTTTGAACCTCAAAATCACGCTTGGCTACATAAATTGGAATATATGGCTGGACGTTGTTTGTCCAGTCACGAAGATCATCTAAACCTAAAAAAATAATAATAAATGAATAATTGTGTAATTGTAACTTGAAAATTGTTATTATTATGATTGAAATGAAATGGGAAATTAAAGATTAGAGACCTCCAATTGCGTCAGCATGAGAATGAGTGATAATAACAGCCTCTATTGATCTTATTCTGACAAAATAAACACAGGGTTTGTTATTTTTGTGGCAGAAATATATAAGAGAAAATGAGAAAAATAAATCTTACCCGTAAGTAGGGAACCATCGAAGAGCACTTTGGTAGAAAAATCTGTGAGATGAAAAAACAAAAAAAAAAAAAAGTATTTGATTTACCTAATGATTTTTTATTATTTGGGGTCTAAATAATCACATTTGGAGAAACAAGCAAGAAGTGGTTGCATATTTCGTTTCAAGAACTTCTTAGTTGCATAAAGTGGGGAAAAGGTGGAAATTTGTTGCACAAATGCAAATTTAACCCGAAACAATAATAGCAAAAAAAACAGAGTCCAATTTTATCTAATACAAAATTCTGAAAAAGGGTATATATGTCTAAAGAACACGATGAAATTAATGATGAAAGAATGTTTTACATACTTGCCAGCATCTATAAGAACGTTAGATATGCCAGAAGGTTTAGGATAACGAATAAGAAGGCTTGTATTGAGTCTCTTATTCTTATTTCCACGTATTACAGCTTTTGAGCAAACCTGAAAAAAGCCATTGAGATATGCACATTGGAAAGAAAAGCTACAAAAACACATCTCGAAGCTTCAAATATTTACTTGTTGTTACAAAATGAGTTGACTCAGTTTGATTGTTACCGGGCATTTCTTTAAGGGGTGAGTAAGGCAGCTAACTCGTGGGACTCCTTCACTGGTTCCTGTCCCCATGAATATGATTTCTGGTTGCTCGAGAGTTATCTTCTCTCCTTTCTGTACGCCTGCAAGAATTTGAATAGTTTTAGGGCCTATTACTCAAAACAAAACCCTAGGGTAGGTTTTAGAGAGATGAATTACAAGCTGAAATCGGAAAACAAGTTCAAATGATATCAAAATTGAAGTTCTAAAGCATCCCATCCATGATTCTTTTCGAATTTATGGCATCTCAATTCCATTGTCATCCGCTATATATAGATATATTAACATTTCACATATATATATAAATGTAAACATTACATTGGTAGAAATCATTTCAAGTTTTTAATCTAACCAATGGTCAAAAGCGAGAAATCAAACACATGTAACCAATTCGGGGATCACTACAAGTAAATGGAAATCAACGGAAACAACAGCTTATGAATATCTCACTTGAATTCGACTGCAGGGAAGCATCTGAATAAATGCGGTTAGATTGAAGACGATAGCGAGAGTTCCCATAACTGTAAACTGGAATTGAGGAACGTTTAGTGTTTGAGGAAGATAGATGTCGGGTCAAACGAGCGAAACGGGTCAGATAAGAAGGAGAAGGACGAACAGCTCCTTGCATTAAGATCATTGGGACCCGAAAACGCTCTTGTTCTGTAGATCGTAGAACCCTTTGCCCAAGAAAACCTTCGGTTACTATGTACTAAAAGGTCAAAGATATTTTCTGTTTATGCAAATTTTCACTTTCACCCCTGAGCTTATGTAAAAGCTCCAAATCCAAGCCTTTTTATGGATGGTTTGAACATGTTAAAATCCTATAAAGAAAGATTTCCTTAGAAATTGCATTGGATGTTGGTGTAGTAAACATAATTTTAAAAACTGTTACTAAAATAATAATTCACTTTTTTAATAAGACTTTTAAACACCCACCCTTGATAAACTTTAAACTGCTACCTTTTATCTAATAATTTTCCATTTCATCAATTCAAAGGGTATTTGTTTCATCTCTTAATGGTTCCATTAAAAAGTTGGCTTTGAATCAAGCAGATTCACAGAGCGTTTGATTGGGTTTTTATCCGCCTCTAAATGGGACATGCTTATAGATGAATAAGCAAACAATTTGTTTTTCTACTAGTATAAATACTGAGTACTGAACTATTTATTGTCATTCACAATATACTATTTTAGTATTTTACACAAAATACCATTAAAATAAAAGTATTTTATAAACACAACGTACCAAGTTCCAATTGCTTACCTTTTGATAGTAATTTTTTTAAAACCAATAAAGTTTTGTGAAAAAAGAAAATAAGCCATCACCCACACAAATCATAATCATCCCAACAACATAAAGTAAGCAACTAGATATACAAGTTTATTAGACTTCAAACATAGTTTCAAATAAGTTCACAACCACATGAAATCAACCAGTTTAAACTTTAATGTTATCCATACAAACATGGTTAAAATCATCACCACTCTAGTAACGATACTTGGTGGAGTAATCTTTAGGAGCAATCACCAAACCGCGTCCCTTCCTAGCCCCACGATACACAGTTTCAACAATGTCTATGAACTCTTGCTTGTCTTTCATGGCCCAATTGATCTTATTGTTGTTACCAGTTCCAAGATCAATCATAATATGCTTGTTCCTGAAGAAGAACATCACAGTAGATGGATCGTATAGCTCATACATTGTATTGAAGTCAGGTACCTCAGTGATGTCCACAAGGTAGATCACAGCAAAGTTCTTTATTGTCTCTGCAACTGAAGCAAGCACTTCATCCATCTACAGATCCCACAACAAGATGATTCAGTATTGTGTAAATATTAACCTAAGTGACAAACATCCCCAATTTCAAAATTGGGAACTTAGGATATTGAAATTTATATATAACCAGTTAAAATTTCGATTGAATCGAATCGTAATCCGATGGAATGATAGGAAGGTGTAATAAACAGAGAAAACAGTATTTGAATTAGGGATAGAGATAGGTGAAACTAGGGTTTTACCTGCATACAAGTTTCGTCCCAATCATGGCCGAACCGGATAACGACGAGACGTTCTTCCTCGGCGAGGATCGCCTGATCGACGGCCCAGCCGGAGTGCAAGTGCGGTAGCAAGTACGACATCTCTGTCTCCCTCTTTCTTTTTCTCTCGAGAAGCGACGGCGGGTTAGCGGGTATAAAAGAAGGCCGATGTATATAGAAACTCAGACGCGGCCTTTATTATTCCGTTGAGATAAGTTATAAAATAGTCCTTCGACTGTATATATTTATAGTTGATATCACTAACTTTTAAACTTTTCGTTGGTTGTCCGAAAAGTTATTAAATGTTTTATTATTTTTATTATTTTTTCTAACAGCAAATTTAATTTAATCTTAAACTAATTTTGAATTCCATCTCAAACAAGATTTAAACCATCAACCCTCAAGAAGAGAAGCAACATTTTATATCATTGGGCTACAAACTCTTTAATATTAAATGTTATATTATTAGAGAACAACAACAAAGAATCTCATTAAATCGGGATAGGGAGAGATATTGGATAGAGTTTTACAACCATGCATCTATAGGGGTTAGAGCGACTATGTCATATAGATGATATCAGGCATGTCTCAAACGATAACTTGTAAGGAGGCAAACAAAAGGAAAGTAAGTCAAATTTAGTTTCACCAACCAACCTTATTGTGATGGGTCACGTCTACCTCTATTCCTTCCCTAATGGATCCTACAACTCAAACACTTGAAGCTCTCCTTTATATGGGTGATAATTGGGTCGGATTCGGGTTGGCAGGTTGGTTGGTCAGAATATATCAACTCAACCCAACCCATATATTTATTCAGGTTGATGTGTCACGGGTTCGTAAGTTAAAAATATCAATCCAACCCAACCCACATAACCCGTTTAATTATACAAGTTTGCGGATAGGTTTCACTAACAGTGATGGTTTAGGGATTAAATCATGAGCGGTGGGGGTTCGGTGGAGCAGGTGTACCAATGGTTTGTGGCTTTGTGTCATTGGGTAGGTGGTACTGGTGGGTGGGCGGAGGTAAGGTAGTAAGGTAAAGGTACCGAGTAGTATGTTGTCTTTTAAGTAACAAGGAGTCAAGAATTGGGTTTGATTTAGTAGGACACACCGCACTCGTAAGTCATAATTCATAAATAAATATTAATTTTTAAAAAATATATAATATATTTTGGCGGACTGACCCACGAACCTAAACACATAACACAACCCGGCCCATGAAACAATCAAGTTGACGGGTCAAAAATCTCAACCCAAACCTATTTATTTTCGTGTTAGGTTACAGGTTGAGAATTGTAACCCCTACAATCTTTTAGGATAAGAATTTGGTTCCCTAAACTTACATCTCCTCCTTCAACTTTCGCACCAGTATTTAAATTACACTGGGGATACTCCATTTTAAGAGTGTTGATTCGCTATGTTTTCTCTTCTAATGTTGCCCTCCAACTTGCGCATTCAGCTCAAGCCATAGACTCGACCGTTAACACAATGTCGTCCACAAAAAAAAACATACACAAAGACACTTCCTCTAGATCTCATGAGACATCTCGCCCAAGATTAAGGCAAACGATGTAGAGATCGAGAGTCAAATCTTGCTCAAGCCATAGACTCGACCACTACAATCTCCACCCACACAAATATGTTAAATTGTCAATTTGGCCCCTTACTTTTCCAACATTGTTAAAGTTTATGACTTTAGAATTCTGTCACCACTCTTTTAGGCTTTTACATTTTTCATCCCTTCAATTGTTACCACTACAATCCACACCCACACAAATATGTTCAATTGTCAATTTGGCACCTTTCTTTTCCAAGATTGTTCTATTTCCATACATTTTCCAACATTGGTCTGGTTCGATACTTGCCCTTTCTTGGTCAATGCGTAGTCGACTCTACTATACACTCTTGCATTTCGTTGTTACATGTTTTTGGAAACTGTCAGTTTTGGGCCAATTTTTTTTAGAAAACTCTAAATTATTTTTGTCCATTTTTTTCTTTTTATAAAACTTTAAATTATTTCACATGGACTCTTTCCTAGTTTTTATTATAACAATGAAATTCAAACAGATTGTTATTTGACTTTTCTGTAAAATAATAATTTAATTTAGCTATCAAAGAAAAGTAAATACTATGAATTAATGCTACATTCGAAGAAGTTTTTTCTTAAATCTACTTGACCATATTCAGTTGAAAGAAAACAAAATAGACTTGGATTCTGTTTGACAACTCTTTTAGTTTTAACTTTTAAATGCATACTTTATATATTTTGTTGTCGTGTGTACATTGGTTTACAAGCTTGTATCTTAAAAAGGTTTTATAAATCACAAGTTTGAATATACACAATTGAAAATAAACCTTTTTGATTACCCTCACTAATTTTCTTCTTCAAAGAACATTTTTTAAAGCAAATTGAATTAAAAATAAAAAAAACTACACATATTCGCCTAACATATTGGTTTCTCCATCGAATTTTACAACTAAAAAGACAAAACAGAGAAAACGAGACAACAAAATCTTAAATTCCAAAAATCAAACACGAACATAGAGATTTGGAATCAACCGAGGACAAAATAGCAAGTTTTTCCAATACATTATAAAATGCTACACTAGTATTCAATTCATAGAGAGTAAAAGACGCACCAATTTGGTAACAAATCACAAATGCAATGACAATAGACATAACATAACAACATACAAAACTAGACCATAAATATATTTTAGCAAATAAAATTCTCATCATACACAACCGAACTTGACAAAAAAAAAATGATCCAAAGACACCAACACCACAAGCAGCCAACCAGAAAAATCTACTGTTGCTTGCATTCAGGAGGTCTCTCACCCTGTTCACCACCAGCATGCACAATGCCACCCTTCTGCAAACACCCCTCAATATTAATTTAACAATCACAAAAACAAAAACATAAATTAATAAAACATTAAACCAAACCATGTTAATTAATTAGATCACCTTCGGTCCAGAAGACTGCAAAATTACATGAAAGAAAATAGAGAATAGTTCATTAGTATGTTGGCTTAAAATTCATATTGAATATTGTTATAAGAAAATTTTTAAAAAAATGAAAAATGAAAATTTTACCTTCTTTTTGCTTTTGGCTTTAGGCTCGTCTTCTTCATCCTCGTCGTCATCATCCTCGTCATCCTCTTCGTCCTCGTCATCATCCTCATCATCGATTTCATCCTCGTCATCGTCCTCGTCATCATCATCTTCAATACCTTCAAAGTCGTCCTCTTGTACAGCTTCACCCGTAAACCAAGAGACCGCATGAGGGATAATTTTGTCACGAATGGTTGATCTGCGGAGGGGCGTTCATGTCATTTTAAATAAATAGACACATTGACAAAGCAAATCGACTACAACTGGACAAACTTTTTAGGGTTAATTTAAACAAGGGTATCCACGTCTTTTGCACATCAAAGGCAAGTCATGTATCGTCATGGGACACAAAATTGCAATTTTTGTACAACTGACATCTGTCTCAAAATAGTATTTGGCAAAACATAAAAACTCACCCAATGTCATAGTCTTGTTCCATTTGATTCTGAAGTTCTTCAGCCTGGAAACAATACACATTAAAGAATTAACCTATTTATGGCATTATACTTGCAAAAATACTTTGTAAAAAAAACACTAAATATTTATAAAACTTTACCATTTCTTCATCAATTTCATCTTCATCCTCAGGGACTTGTGGGGGGTTAAAAAAGTTGAAAAAACTTTCACAATTTTCTGTCTTGGTTATTGGTTTGGCATTCTTTGAA